CAAGAATGTTAGTTGGTTTAGATTGATTGAAATGAGAGTAAACCTTTGTTTCAATAACTATACAATTCTCCTTGTAATATCTTTTAGGGGTGAAAATGCTGGTAAATCTATTTGGATAATCTACATCAATTTTGTTATTAGTACTCCATGTGTTAGAGGTGCCTTTTGATAACGTTCCATAATCACATTTCTTGTTATTGATCATTTCTCTACATTCGGAAAGTGTAATTGGATAATGATTAAGCTCTTTTTCAACCAAGTGTTCATATCCAGAAAGGTCAGTATATACTGAAACTTCGCTAACTAATTTTTTACATAGTTTTGCATCTGAAACATATTCAATAATGTTTGGTTTGAATACTTCATACTGAACTATTTCTGATTTACTGTTTAGCATTCTATGATAATTGCATTTGTGTAGTTTGGGTATTCTAAAATATTGGATTGGGGAGTTTTCCGTACAAATAATAGGCTTGGTGGATGCTTCTTGAAACCATATCAAGAATAAAAACACCGTTACAGTTCTAAAGTTTATACGCATTTAATAGTTGATAAAAATCTTTTAAATTCTTGCTATATAAATCATCAAAAATGATAGAAGCCGTTGATAGAATACTCGTAGTTGACGCTCCTATTGTGACTGATACTTCCATTCAAAAAGAGAATCTCATAAGTGTTTTTCCTTCTTCAGGTTCTAGTTTAAATCAACATGGAGAAATTAATTTTGTTATTGAGACATGTGGTCAGTATCTACACTTGCATAAGTCTTACATTTACCTCGAAGTAGAACTTTCCAAATTAGATGACGCTGCTTTAGCAGAAACTGATGAAGTCTCCTTAACTAATAATGCACCAATGTTCTTGTTTGATAGAGCAACATATAGTATGGATGGTGTTCAAGTAGAAAACATAATGGATCCTGGTAGAGCTAGTTTGATGAAAGGTCTTTTGACTTATAGTAGTACTATGAACAAGCAGAATACTTTTGGCTGGATTTTAGAAACTAAGGATATTATAACATACAAGATAAATAAATATACGAAAAATAGAAAAGGCACTATAACTTTTTGCATTCCGTTGACACATATCTTTGGATTTGCTGAATGCTACAACAAAATAGTCTATGGTAGGAAGCATCAGTTATCACTCTACAGATCTCCTGAAAATAAAAATAGCATTGTATCGTCAGATGCTACAAAATTTACAGCGAAGATGAACATCAAAAGATTACAATGGATTATTCCAAAGATTGTCCCTAGTCTTGAAATGCAGAATAAATTATTGAATATTTTCGAAAGCAGTAAGTTAGTACAAATGCCTTTCATTTCTAGACAATTCGAAAGCTATAATATCCCTAATGGTAATAGGGAATTCACATGGAAGATGGGTACAAAATATGACAAAATAAAATATATTGTAGTAGCATTTCAATGTGCTAGGGATAACAACTATCTGAATGCTAGTAAATTTGACAATTGTGGATTAGAAGAAATTTATGTTGAATTAAATTCAGAGAGATATCCTCATGACTGTTTGAAATTTGATTTTGATAAGTTTAATGCTGTACAACAATACAATTTTGCTAAAGAGTTTAGAAACAGTTACTATGAATCGACAAAGGATTATATTTTTATGGAGGAAGATGTATATTATTACTATTACCCATTGTTGGTGTTCGATGTATCTAAACAAAATGATAGAATTATCCAATCAAGACCTGATGTCACAATCAAAGCTTCCTTTTCAAAGAGTATTGTAAAAAACACAAAATGTTATTGTTTGATTATGAGTGAAAATATTGTTGAAATTAAAGATAATAGAGTCAAAGTAGTAAGTGTTTAATTGAGATTAGTGTCGGGGATCCAAGAATTGAACTTATCGGGATAACCATACCATTTGACAAACAATTCCTTCACACCTTTTCTAGTTCTACGTTTAATAATATTTTCGATTTTATGTTCATCTTTACATTGTTGTAGAATGTGAGTTCTTCCTCATAAAATTTTCCTGTGATTTCTTCGTCTGCTAGATCTCTGATAGAATAAGTAGTAACGTCTCCGGGATGAACTTTTGAAATTTTAAACATTTCTGTACTCCAGTTAGGTAGATAACCTTCAGCAAATACAGCTTTATACTTTGTTATTCTAACTGTATCATCTATTTTAAACTTGCTTCTTATAGGACTTTCATTTTTAAACATTTCTTTTCCGGTTGAGGGATATAAAGTTTCATAAACTTGCTCAGCGTTGTCTTTCTTGGATGCTTCAATAGGAGACATGTTTATGCTGCGGTGATGGTGGTCATTGTATCCTGTAACAAGCTTATCCAGAATATTTACCCATTTATGATCACCTTGATGAGTGAACATTTTCCACATTTTTTCTTTTAGAGTTCTATTGAATCTTTCAATGATAGAAGCTTTCTTGTTCGAGTATGTTGAGAAGTGGTGAATGTTTTGACCTTTAAATAAAGCTTTCATTTCTTTGTTGTAATATTCTTTTCCATTATCTGTTTGAATTTTTTGCGGTTTTCTTTTTTCGAAAATAGTTTGCAACGCATTTGCAGTTTCTTTTCCTGTTTTAGTTTTCAGAGGAATAACCCAAGCATATTTACTGAAGCAGTCTATGACTGTGAGAAGATACTTAAAATCTTTGTTCTCTTCTGCATATGGAATCATTTCGACAAGATCGGATTGCCACTGTTCATCGATATTGTGAACGTAAACTCTTTCAGATTTGAAATTTTTACGAGCAGGTTTATGTAGAGTGTATACATCTTGTTCGTTCAGGAACTTCTTCACAACTTCCGTAGGCTTTTTAGTTTTTCTTTGAAGTTCATTGATACCACAAAATCCAGTTTCCGGATTGTAGTAGGCATCTTCAAGAATTTTTTGAGTTTTCGGAGTAATTTTGATAGGCTTGACATCTCCACCATGTGATAGTTTTTTTGAATTTAATCTACATTTAGTTGTGTTACACACTACACAGTTTCCCTTGATCATTTGTTTATTATTTTTGGTTAGTATTTCAGATATATTATTCGTATCAGTGAATACTTTACACTTGAAACAGAATATCTCCATTTAATGAAAACAAATAAGTTGAATGAATATTTAAAAAACGTCATGGTCAGTTCATGATTCACCACTCTCTTCATATGAGTGTTTTCTGTTATGAAAAAAATAATTTGGGGTAAAAACTTGAAAAAACAGCAAAATAAAAATTTTTTAAAAGTGGTCTAAAAACTGCGTTAGAAAGGACAATTCTATACTCTGGTGACGTATGAAGATGGAAAGAAGTAAAGGGTTTTTTTAAACATGACGTCCCACCTGTCATAATAGACGTCAGCGGGATGAGGGACAGTGTTTTTTCTTTTGAAGTTATTCAAAGTTTTTGATGATTTTATCAAGAATTTGCCTAAAACCCTTCCATTTGGAGGGGTTTTTTAAAATGGGAAAAGTGGGCGGAAAACTGCACCAGAGCGTGACTTTTTATACTACTGTTGTTTATTTGTTTACTGAATAAGCAATACAGGTAAAATACCTTGTTTTTTTTACCGGTATTTTACCTAGCTGAATAACCCGATAAAAAATGAATGACTGTTTTTTCAGTAAACCGGACATTAAAAATACATGATATTAGGTTGGAAGGAAAGTAACTGTCCATTTTTTGATCAGTGAATAACACAAAAACAAGAACTCTCCAAGATTGACAGTATGCACCGTCGTGGTCCCCGACATTCTGACAACATTCAGGTAACTTGTGGATACCATCCCTCTAAAAGCCAGCTGGTCGCGACTCAAAGTATTTTTTCAGTTCAGATTTTACCTCATCTACAGTGTTGAACTATTTCTTGCCAGATGACGTTGCATACCTCCGAATAACTAATAATGAAATTGCCAAATCAGGAGTTTAAGGGGGCATAAAGAAGAGCCGTCCAGCTAAAGCGGTCCAGGTCTTACTTGACTTTCCGTGGAACATAGGATCTCGCGTTATTTGCGGAAAGTCAATTCAGTCCTAAGCCGCTTTGGCTGGAAGGCTGTCCTCGTTTCTTTAACTCCAGCCTTGACCCTTTCATTATTGGTTATTCGGAGATATGTAACGTCATCAGGAGGGATAATAATTTTACACTGTCGATGAGATAAAAACAGATCTGAAGGTATGCTTTGATTTGTGGCCAGCTGGCTTTTAGGCAGATGGTGCCCACAAGTTACCTGAATATTGTCAACATGCCGTGGACGATGACGGTGCATACTATCAGTCTTGGATAATTCTTTTTTTGTGGTTATTCACGAATTGAAAAATGGGCAGTTACTTTCCTTCCAACCTAATATTTTGAATTTTTTCAGGAATATCGTGAAACCTGTATTTGGAGGGGCCGGCCCTTCTATTGTTTCAAGGTACCACCAGAGGGTCCTTCTCTTTTTCCGGCCATTTTTTCCCAAATTTTGCATCGAAAAATTCGACGGAGTTTCGTTCAAAATTCATGAAAATCTGCCAATATCACTAAAATTCAGCAAGATTTTCATCAAAAAATAGAGTTTCAACAAATCATTACTAATAACATTCACCAGATTCTGTATGTGCGTATGTATGTAGCGCACCTTATCACTCATTCAAAGTTAACCGATCAAGCTGAAACCTGGACAGATAGATCAAAATTGTTTTTTAGTTGATGTCCGAACTTTTGGTTTTTCGAAATTTTGATTTTGGAGTCTTCTGGAGACGTTCCTTGGTTTCACCTCTGTAAAGAGTAGTGTGCAGAAGCCAGGAGGTTTAGCCCCAAAGGGGCCTAAACCTACTGGTTTCTATTAAATTGTTGAGTTCCCGGAATATTTTCCACTGAAAAAGTACGAAACTTTTCTGATTTCAAATATATTTTGAATTGGGGTCCTTTTTCACAGAGGGTCCTTCTATTACGGGGGCCCTTCTATTACAGGGGTCCTTCTATTTTTCCAAGCCACTCTCGGAGGGCCCGTCTATTCGAGGGGCCCTTCTAATACAGGTTTTACGGTATTTGCTCAGAATTTCAGTATTTAGGTTCATTTTCATGCTTTTCATCAAGTTTCGTAATGCTTTTATTTGGTCGCATTCAAACCGTTGGTTATGGAATATGAAGTCTTGTTGTTTTTTGAATAATGCATTTCAATGTTTTAAAAATTTTCAAAAAATTTCAGAGAATTTATAAAACTCAACAAAAACATTAGCTTCTTCGATTTTTAACATTTGCAAATTAATTCCCAAATGCTCAATAAAAAAAACTGTTCATTGGTGCATTTGAATAGACGATTCAAGTTTTTACGATTCCACGATCATGTATTTCGTAAAATGTTACGTTTTACGAACTTTGTAAAACAGAAGTTTCATGCACATTGCTGCTACTTACCATTACAAAAATACAGTAAGACAGAATGCGGCGTTCAGAAAAATAATGAAATTTTAGTGGGAATAAAACTATAAACACCCGATTTATAGTCATTAGAAAATTCAGTTCCAATGGAGTCAAATAGCTAAAAATGTAGATTAGAGTAATCTGTTTTCCAGCCAAACTTCGATATTCTGAAAAATGATGTGGACATCTGGACAGACAGACATTAAAAATACGTGATATTCTGAATTTTTTGTTTCAAAACGAAATTTTCTGGTTTCAAAACACATTTTGAAGGGAGGAGGGCCCTTTTTTACAGAGGGCCCTTCTATTACAGGAGGCCCTTCTCTTACGGGGGCTCTTGTATTACAGGAGGCCCTTCTATTACGGGGGCTCTTGTATTACAGGAGGCCCTTCTATTTTTCCAAGACCCTCTCGGAGGGCCAATCTATTAGAGGGGCCTTTCTAATACAGGTTTTACGGTCCGGGGTACTGTACCTTCATATGCTTTCTCTCCTCCAATTCTAAAAGCAAAAACATAACCATCGAATAACAAAAAATTTGAAATTTTGTTCAAAATTCCACAGAATACCATAGAAATTATGTAAATTACAGGGTTCTGGTCCTTTTTCTGAGAGTTTAATCTCTTTGTTAAAACTGAAATTAATAGAGAAACATCGTAAATTAATGTAAAAAGTATAAAAATTGAAAATGCTGCTGGGATGGGAAAAACGAACATTTTTTGGGGGGAAATGAGCAATTTTTGGGAAAAGAGGATTTTAGAAAAAAGATGGAAAATTTATGAGCTCCTCGTTAAAAATGACTTTTGGATTCTCAGAATTTTTTTCAGAAAATTGAAAAAAGGGAGAACAACGAGGAAGTGAAATTTTTAGTGAATTTCTCCAAAATGTGTAATTGACAATTTGAAAAAAAAGAGAACTAGCAAATAATTCGAAAAACCATTTATTACAAAACCACATTCAATTCAAAACCAAAAAAAAACAAGAACCAAAAACAACAAGTACAGTAATCCAAAACTGCAAAAAATTCGAGAATCCAGAATCGAGAAGAGGTTCTCCAGTTGCAAAATCCTCATCATAATCATCTCCATCCACTTCCACGTAATCCTCCAATTCTTTTGGTAGAGTTGCTGTTTCTGGAAACTTTCTTTCAGAATTTCCCAAAATACTTGGTCCCGGAGATGTTGAGTTTGGATATGGTGCTTGGGTTATTGGCTGGATTTTTTGTTTGGGAATCAGGCAAGGTTTAGAAGACGTGGGGGATTCTGAAGACGCTGGTGTTGAATTTGGAGGTTCGTTAGGAAGGATGGTGAGATTTTTGAATTAATCTGAAAACTAAATATTCAAAAAATTTGTTTCAATCAAAAAACAATACTCACGGTGTCTCCTCCGAAACACATAATCCTTGCTCCCTTTTGTAGTTTGGTCCACAATTCATATACCCGTATTGATTGTCCCAGGTGCTTCCATCCATATTTTTTCTACATTTTGAATTTCAAAAATATTCTCCAAAAGTCACAAATACTTACTCAAATCCAAACAGGCACATGATTTTAAAACCATATCCTAGATTCGGTTTCTCAGAACAGGCAATGGCAGACTGTAGGGGATGAATGTGCTCGCTTGTATGGTTGATATACCCTCTGGATACTGTAACATCCGATTTACGTCATTTTTCAACTCGTCGGATCCTGTTGTGTAATTGGAAATAAATGTAAATCTCCAATTTTCCATATTTTGAAGCTTGAGGCTCGTATAGTTGATCCTTCTCACAATTCTATCAAGTTCTTCGTTCCAATTCTGGAAAAGAAAAAATTTTCAAAATCTGATTTGGGAATCTGAAAATTTCCTCACCAGCTTTCTCATCCTATAGTACCCATTTAGAGAGGCAGTTTGCCGCCTTAAAGAGTTCAAACCATTTATGAACTTCTCCTGAGCAACGTCCCATGAGCATATTCCACCCGATTTTGTGTATTTCCATTTGCATTGCGAGCCAGGCACTCCTTTCCTCCATTTCCTACCCGCATTTCTGAAATTGGGTTATCTTGAAAACCAGATAAAACACTTGATGAAAAAAACTTGACCAAGTTTTCTCAAATTTTCCAATTACAAATTGCATAAAAATCAGTGTGTGACTTCCGATTTTCACTTACCGGTAACGGCTTTTTTGGCGATTTTACCGGTAATTTATGAATGCTGTTTCTGCTGTTTCACTAGCTTTTTGACAGTTTTGCAACAGTTCGAAAACGTCGCGGTTCTAAAATGTCGCAGTTCTAAAATGTCGCGGTTCTAAAATGTCGCAGTTTTAAAACGTCGCGGTTCTAAAATGTCGCGGTTTGAATGTCCCAGTTCAGAAACGTCGCGGTTCTAAAATGTCCCAGTTCTAAAATGTCCCAGTTCTGAAACGCCGCGGTTCTAAAATGTCGCGGTTCTAAAATGTCGCGGTTCTAAAATGTCGCAGTTCTAAAATGTCGCAGTTCTAAAAAGTCGCGGTTCTAAAACGTCGCGGTTCTAAAATGTCGCGGTTTAAATGTCCCAGTTCAGAAATGTCGCGGTTTTGAAATATCGCAGTTCTAAAATGTCGCGGTTCTAAAATGTCGCGGTTCGAAAATGTCGCGGTTCTAAAATGCTAAATAGAATAAAAACAGACATTTAATTTTTGAAGAAATTCACAAATATGCTCATGGGTTCATCGAAGATTTTTCAAATTTTTTTTTCTTGAAAACGTCCCTCATTTTTTTGATTGCAGATGCAGAGCCAAGCATATTGGCAGATGTGCTCTCCCATCTTCCAAGAATGGAGAAAATATGCCAGGTATTCTGGCGGTTATGTGGACAGTTGCGCTCCGAAATGTGACAGACCAATTCAATATTGCTTCGACCGGAAAGTTTATGGAAAGTGCCAATTATCTGGGTGCAAAAGATTGACAATGGTCAAATGCGCGTATTGTGCCAAGAACATATGTTTTCAGCAGTTTGTCATCGAATGCCACCGATGTGTTTAGAATCCTCAACTGTTTTTTTTTTCAATAAAAGAAAAAAAAAAAAAATTGAAAACATTTTTTGAAAAATCTTCGATGAACCCATGAGCATATTTGTGAATTTTTTCAAAAATTAAATGTCTGTTTTTATTCTGGAAAATGCCTATTCATAACGAGAAACTCCCGAAAAACATGTTTAGATTGCGTAAATTCTATTCCAGAACCAGTTATGACAGCTTAAAATAAAACAAAAAAAATTTTGCAAAATTTTTGAAATAGGGAGAATCGAACCTACAACCTTCCTCCTCTGGACTTGCCATTTTACCACTTTACCACACTGCTGATTGAAATCTATTGTTTTAAAAGAAATACACTATTCCGTGAAAAAAATTTCACGAGAAATTGCTTAATCATAGGGAAACTTTTCTAGGTCATAACTCAGCTCACGTGAGCATTTTGCTGATTTTTTTAACAGATTTGGAATCCTCATAAGCTCTTCTATCTGCTCCCAAAATTTCAAAAAAAAAGTTAAAACTGCTCCCTCAAGTAACTCCCTTGTGATAAAAAATTCAAAACTGACTTTTTTCAGCCTTATCAATCTTCATTTATAGCTAGTTTCTTATCAAGATGGCCTAGTGATCTACAAGAAACTGTTTAGAATACGTGAAGTTTTTAACGCGGAATTTTCTGAATCAATCAAAAGTCAATTTTTTAATTCTTTGAATTTTTTTTCTTGAACACGTGAACCGGAAAAAAATTGCACTACATTTTGTATTTGGTTTTTTTGAAAAACGTGGACTTGTTTTCAGTACTTAAATTTTTCCCCTTCAGTTTCCAACAATCCAAAAAAAAAGTGTCCAAATAAGCTGAAAAATATGAAGACCCTTTTTGCCATCTGGATTTTTTGGACCTTCTCAATCGAGTCTTCTGGAGTTTCTTTGGATGTGGAACAAAGGGATTTTATAAAAAAATTGAATGAATTAAGAAGAACATACCGAAATTCAAGTTTCAAAATGCATGAATTAGAATGGAGTCGAGATCTGCAAGATATTCTGACGACTCTGGACTTCAGGAAAATAGGAGGAGCATCATATAGACCATGGAGGTTCACAATGATTTCGAGATATGAGAATGGTATTGACGAGTTGGAAAAATCTACAAATTCAAATGTAGGAACGGGCCAGTCTGATCTTGTCTGGTATAATCCACGCCTGGAGCATATCGTACCACATCAGACAAATGTGGCTTGTGCGAAAAAAGAAAAGCTTTTCGAAAATTTCAAAATCCTATGCTTGTTTGGTCCGTCAAAGTGGCTTCGGAAAATATTTAAAGAAGGAGATCCGCGTGCATCCAAGTGCTTAGATGGATATGAGGAAGATAACGGATTGTGTGTAAGAGCTGGAAAGTGGGTGTCTTAATTTTCAGATTTTCAAAATTCAGTAATTCTCATCTGTGACTTTTCAAACTTGGAACTTTTTTGTCTTGAATTTAGAATTACCGTAAACACTCGAAAAGAATGTCACCCGGATCGTCCACTTTAAACCTATATATCTCATTTTTTCTGAAAGATAACAAAAAGTTATAAACTGATAAAGTGTTTATCATGATGTCAGCAACCTTTTATTAGTCAACCACTTTTTGATATCTCTCACAGAAAACGAGATACATGGGCTCAAATTTGACGACTCGGATGACTTTCTATTAGAGTGTTTACGGTAAGTTGATTTTCATATATATTTTTTTAGAAAAATTTAATTCTCAAATTTCCAGAAAAACACAAACTGGAACGGATTTTACTACAAATAATCCAACAATCCAAAAGCAAGAAAATGATCAACCAGGTCCAGAACAACTCCAATTTATACAGAAATTGAATGAAAAACGGCGAGAATATGCTGTAAAGTGGAATATTTCAAATATGCATGAATTGGTGTGTATGACTTTTTAAACTGATTTTTTAAAAAAATTTTCAGAGTTGGAATGTCAAACCGAATGAAACCTGGACCGAATTCACAATGGAGACTGGTGGCTTTGACGGAGAATTGGTAGAGTTAAAACAAATAATTCAAGGAAACAAAAGTGTTGAACATGGACTTTTGGATCCTATGAAAATTAGAATAAAATGTGGTTATGACGATGATAATAACACCCGACTGTATTGCATTTTTGCACCAGGGTAACAGGATTTGGAAATAAGCCGAATTTTCCGATTTTTTTTTCAGAAATGCCACTACAAAATACGAAGATGGTACTCCTGGATCAAATTGTCTTGCTGGATTCGAAAATAATCATGGTTTATGCTCTCGGGCCACAACGAAAGCCACCACAAGGTTAGTTGAAAATTTTGGATTTTCAATTTCAAAAAAAAATAGAAATTTCTAGAACCACATCTCCAGGCCGGAATCCAGGAAATTCTATAGAAACGAGAACTCTACCGAAAGAATTGGAGGATTACGTGGAAGTGGATGGAGATGACTATGATGAGGATTTTCCAACTGGAGAACCTCTCCTCGATTCCGGATCTTCGAATTTTTTGCAGTTTTGGATTACTGTACTTGTTGTTTTTGGTTCTTGTTTATTGATTTGAATTGATTAATAAAGATTGATTGTTTTTATGAATTCAGACGTTTCAAAGCAAATTTTGAAGAGATTTAGAAAACTGGAGAGTTCAAAAACAAAAAAAGTCGAAAAATAGAAATTCCAAGAGATACTGTAAAACCTGTATTAGAAGTGCCGGCCCTTCTATTGTTTCAAGGTACCTCCGGAGGGCCCTTCTATTACAGGGGCCTTTCTTTTTTTTCCGGCCAGTTTTTTTCCAAAGTTTTGCATCGAATTCGACGAAGTTATTTTCAAAATTCATGAAAATCTGCCAATTTTACCACAATTTAGCAAGCTTTTTTGATAAGTCTGGTATTCCTAATGTTATTGGAATAGCGTACCCCTTCCACTTTACTTAGAGCCAATCACAGATAGAGCACGGTGATTCTAATTTATAAAGGTTCATTATGAATCTAAAATAAGAGAAGAAAATTAAATGGGGGAAGTTAATCTAAAGAAAAAGAGTAAATCCGAAATCCCCAAAAAACTCCGTGGAAAAGGAAGAAAATTCAAAAAAAAAGGTGCCGCCGGGGGACGAGGATTCT